TATGAGACAAATCGGTATACACCCCTTGGATTTTCTAATTACGACACGTTGTTACAAAAAAATTTTAAAAAATAAAAAAATGTTGCCAGGTACTGCATATTTTATCAAATGAGCAAACGTTTTCGGTTGTCAACCTCAACAACATTGGGTGCAACAGGTACCGTGAGTGAGTGCAGGTGTCGTAGATGCCGTAGGTACTCAGGTGCGCACGCAGAATTCATGTTCGAGGAGCCTCAATAGCTATAAATATAGAAAAATATTTGTTTTGAATATCTAATACTGCCATTACAACAAATTATAATTAGCCTACGTCACAATCACATTGTTTATATTGTATAGTCTTGTAAAAACAATTAAAATCCTTTGATCTTATAAATGTTACTATATTCCTGATGATGACATAATTAATGTCGAAATATTGAATACCGACACGATGGCGTGCATTTCGATACTTGGAGTACGGTATGTATTATATCTTATCTGAAATTAATCAGTGGACCTTTCTGCTTTACTATAAAACAGTACAGTAACATACGTCTCTACAATAATAATTTTCTATCTTTGAAAAATGTGCAAATTAAGAACAAAATAAGAACATTTTGAGCCTGAAATTTGCAAAAACATAAGAACACTGGATTGAGCCTGGGCAAAATTTTACTTGTTCTTATGAAAAAAACAAAGGTATCAAATGGAAAATTGATGAGTGGGACTGCCTTATACTAACAACAAGTGCTAACTTTTCCTGAAAAGGAAACATAAATGCATTTGAATAAGAGCGTAATGTGGTATCCAATTTAGTAGACTGGCGTTTTATTAGCCTTTAATAAACGAAGATTACATCGGTATGATAACATTAGCATGTTCTATAAAAGATGTGCATACTGTATTACCTTTTGTTAGTTTCCCCAATGCCAGACGAAGACCTAGCGTTCTTAATTTTTCCTTTAATGACTCCATATTGCCTTCCTGGATTTCCCCTTCGTCTTCTAGGTCAGTAATCATTTCCCAGGCGTTGTCATAATCCTTAAGGGGCTGATTATACATTCCATCTATCCTTATCACATTGGCATCATTTAGTATCATTCCAAATGCCATTAGATTTTGTCTGTGAGGTGTGAATTTTGTTATTGTTCCTTCCTTAAGACCCTGGAATATCGGGTTTAATTTTTCAAGCTTCGCTTGCAGACCAAAATGTTTAGTAACTCTGATAGTATCACAAATTATACTAAGATTTGTTGAACTCAGATGCCCACCCTTAATCAGTTGATCCAGAATCTTAATTGTAAGAGTTATATTTTTTAGTACTGGAGGTTCTACATGATCTCTGAACAGCACTCTCAACATAGGAAGACACCTATTGGCGTCATACCAACTTGAAAAAATTGCTTTTATAGTTTTGAAGGTCTCATTCTCCGATATTTCTATGAAATAAATTAAAGATATTAGTATTAATAGAAAATTATATCTGCAAATAAATGTAAGCAATATCAATACTCAATATTCATGAAAGCGATTTTTATTACCAGGCCTATCTATGTACAACGTCAATCCCCGGACCAAACCTCAACCATCCATATTATTATTATTATTATTATTATTATTATTATTATTATTATTATATATTGTATTGAACAGGTTGGAAACCCCGTTTTCAAGATAGATACCAACCAAATAATTTTTTTTTCTCATTTACCTTGTCAATCTTATAGGTGTTTTGACCAGCAGTGTTTTGACCACCCAAAAAACTATAATATGATTTACATTTCAAATTTAATACAGAAGAAGGTTTAATTCCACTTGGTTTACCTTCATCGGACGCCTTTTTATCGATAGCACTAGCCATGTTTAGTTTTCAGCACGTTACGTTATTTCTGAAATTAAAAATCATTTGTTTTCTATAAAATAATCAATGCTACACAAGGTTTAAAACATTGCTAAAAAATCTAGCATTATTATACTTCAATTGATCTTAATAATAGTAGAACAACTAAGAGCACAAAATGATACATAGTTTGTTGATGATGACTTGGCTGGTTGCGGGGGGCTGCCTTTGCTTTGCTTTGAATGATTGATTGAATTTGTTTGGTTCATATACATAAAATACAATTCAAATGTGAACATAAAAAAAGAATAATCTCATAAAATACAACAATAAAAACATATCATATTACTGTCTAAAAATAATGAATATTTATGAGCGCAACGGGAAGAATATTAGTTCATTCGTTGAAAGAGTGACTGTTCCATTTGACGAGGCGGAGCCTGGTTGAATATAACAGTCAGCCTTTCAACGAATGAAGATATTCTTTCCATTAAAAGACATTCATATTTTATTCCAAAAATCTACCTTTTTCTGAATGGAGATTCTAGTCATTTGTTTTTCTAAATAGAACAGTCCAGCGTCTCTTTAACCAATAGGGCGTAATTGTATCGTATTCTAGGCACCGTGCAATGGGAAAAACGAGTGGAAAGAAAATGCACGGATGGAAATAAAAATGCACGGTGGAACCATCTTATTAATAGGTCCATTGTGGAACTAAATTTCCATGATGAGTGACGAAATCGGGTAAATAACCAATGAGAGCCGCCACGCCAATATTTTTTTAATAATCGCCGCTCTCGAATAAGCGCCACACTGAAGCCTCCAAAAATGTTATAAGCGCCAAATTATGAAAAAGACTTACATTACATTTTACGCCGCATTCATAAAATATTCTTTAACTTTATGTGTTTAAAGAGCTTAGTAGAAATTTTGGCCTTATGGAATCTGGGAGAGAATTCCCATATTGCTT